CTAGTACCTTATTCACTACCTTACCTATTACCTATTACCTATTACGTGCTTAGGATATGCTTAAAATTCGCGGTTAGGATGAGTAAGGGGTAATAGGTAATAGGTAAGGTAGTGAGTAAGGTACTAGGTAGGTTAGCCTTACCCGCTTACTCATCCTAACCGCGAATTTGAAGCATATCCTTACTGGGTTAACCTACCTAGTACCTTACTCACTACCTTACCTACCTTACCTATTACCTTACCTATTACCCCTTACTCATCCTAACCGCGAATTTGAAGCATATCCTTACTGGGTTAACCTACCTAGTACCTTACTCACTACTTTACCTATTACCTATTCCGTATTACCTATTACCTATTACCCCTTACTCATCCTAACCGCGAATTTGAAGCATATCCTTACTAGGTTAACCAACCTAGTACCTTACTCACTACCTTACCTATTACCTATTACCTATTACCCCTTACTCATCCTAACCACGAATTTGAACCCTATCCTTACTAGGTTAACCTACCTAGTACCTTACTCACTACCTTACCTACCTTACCTATTACCTATTACCTATTACCTATTACCCCTTACTCATCCTAACCGCGAATTTGAAGCATATCCTTACTGGGTTAACCTACCTAGTACCTTACTCACTACCTTACCTACCTTACCTATTACCCCTTACCTATTACCCCTTACTGCATCCTAACCGCGAATTTGAAGCATATCCTTACTGGGTTAACCTACCTAGTACCTTACTCTCTACCTTACCTATTACCTATTCCGTATAACCTATTACCTATTACCCCTTACTCATCCTAACCGCGAATTTGAAGCATATCCTTACTGGGTTAACCTACCTAGTACCTTACTCACTACCTTACCTATTACCTATTACCTATTACCCCTTACTCATCCTAACCGCGAATTTGAAGCATATCCTTACTGGGTTAACCTACCTAGTACCTTATTCACTACCTTACCTATTACCTATTACCTATTACGTGCTTAGGATATGCTTAAAATTCGCGGTTAGGATGAGTAAGGGGTAATAGGTAAAATTTTTTTTTTTTTTTTTTTAGGTAAGTAATTTTAAAAAAATAAAAATAATTTTTTAAAAAAAATTTTTTTTTTTTTTTAAAAAAAAAAAAAAAAAAAAAAAAAAAAAAAAAAATGTACTAGGTAGGTAGTAGCCTTACCGCTTACTCATCCTAACCGCGAATTTGAAGCATATCCTTACTGGGTTAACCTACCTAGTACCTTACTCACTACCTTACCTACCTTACCTATTACCTTACCTATTACCCCTTACTCATCCTAACGCGAATTTGAAGCATATCCTTACTGGGTTAACCTACCTAGTACCTTACTCACTACTTTACCTATTACCTATTCCGTATTACCTATTACCTATTACCCCTACTCATCCTAACCGCGAATTTGAAGCATATCCTTACTAGGTTAACCAACCTAGTACCTTACTCACTCCCTTACCTATTACCTATTACCTATTACCTATTACCCCTTACTCATCCTAACCACGAATTTGAACTCTATCCTTACTAGGTTAACCTACCTAGTACCTTACTCACTACCTTACCTACCTTACCTATTACCTATTACCTATTACCTATTACCCCTTACTCATCCTAACCGCGAATTTGAAGCATATCCTTACTGGGTTAACCTACCTAGTACCTTACTCACTACCTTACCTACCTTACCTATTACCTTACCTATTACCCCTTACTCATCCTAACCGCGAATTTGAAGCATATCCTTACTGGGTTAACCTACCTAGTACCTTACTCACTACCTTACCTATTACCTATTCCGTATAACCTATTACCTATTACCCCTTACTCATCCTAACCGCGAATTTGAAGCATATCCTTACTGGGTTAACCTACCTAGTACCTTACTCACTACCTTACCTATTACCTATTACCTATTACCCCTTACTCATCCTAACCGCGAATTTTAAGCATATCCTAAATTACGCTGCCTATAATATGAAATCAATCCATTCATTGACAACATTTATATTGCCAGTTTCAGCAGAAATTTAAGAATTTCAATAATTTGACCTTCAAACTCAAGGTAATTTTTGATTGAAGTTCAATGTAAGTCTGCTTAACTTGAAGGTCTATCCGAGAAGATTGTTGTGTTACAGTACAAAGACAATCCATTCAAAAATAACGAAGTTAATAGCAATTATGAACAAAAATCAAGCAAAATTTAGACATTTAATCTTGAATGTCAAGGTCAAATATGAATCAAGGTCAAGTTAGGTCTGGTATTTTAGGGTCTTGTCCTAATGATTGTTCTTGCCAAGTTTGAAGACAATATACTTAGAAGTACAAAAGTTATGATCAACCCCAAAGTTTTTTGGACGGTAACTGCAACGGGCAAGGCGAAAGCAGACATTACTGTACAAATACCTATTTTATTGTAACAATACCTCAATCTTAAATAATAAGGCGAGTGAAGATTAGTTTTTTTATACTTCTCAAATCTAAATAATTGCATTGATTATAACAAGTTTCACAAAATGTGTCCTATCTTGAATATAATTCCATAAAACCATTTCGCCAGCATAGAATCCTGACCTTATACAAAGTATATTTCATATTTTAAGGTTTAGAGAAAAAGTTGGAAAAAAAACACTTACCGCTCTTAATTTGTTTCTGAACTTTTGAATATTGACTTAAACGATGGTAAGCTTCATGAAAATCAGAAGAAAAAAGTATTGTTTCGCTTCATTGTAAATTATCTGCCTTTAAATTTAACGAAACAGTCCAATTCAAGGGCAGATAACTCAAAAATGAGAACGGAGATCCCATTTTTTCCGTTAAAAATGTTTCTATTTGTTCAGCAATATCGTGCGGATGGTCTCAAGCAATATCTTGCCGAGGGTCTAAAACTTGATCTGTCTTAAGATGCCACACTTATTTTTTGGATGAATAGCTCTAAATCCTTTCGCGGGATAACATGATTCTTGAAGTGACAAACAAAATTTGCTTACCGTGTCCAATATTTCCGGTTGGTTTCACCTTGAATAGTTCCTACCTTTGCAAATAAGTGACTCTTTAGGCTAGAATAATTTAATTTCAGTCGAGAATATATTTCATCAAACTTTCTATTACGATGATGTGTCAACTAACTAGGTGGTACTTGATTGATACATATTTTATTGGTTGCATTTGATCGGTGCACGTTGCAGAATCGTAATCACACGTGCCTCAAGGTAGCTTTCGGAATGTCGATTTTTCTAGTCAGGTGACCGTAAAATGTTTGGAAGGGCACCAGATGTTTTCCACCAGAAAAGCTGGAAAGTCACAGTTTTACTGTAAAGTAAAATCCCATCAAACACACAAACACACATCCTTAAAATATCACAATTAATAAAACATTAGAACATTTGAGGAATATGACCATTATTTATGGTCATAATGCAAGTCAATAAAAATGTATGGTCCCTTAGAAACTTTTCACGGAATTCGATGATTAAAATTGAAGTGCTTAGAAAGCAAATGGTACCGTTATCACTACAAATCAAAAAGCTGAAAGGAATGTATGCATATGCCCCAAGTACATTGATTTAGTTTGGTTATGAACGGTTCTGGAACAAACATGTTTCTAGACAAAAAACGATGACTCCTTCCATAATGGTATTCTCTTATTACGCTCTAATGGAATATTTTTCTTAGTTTGCTGTATTGTGGGCTTTTCTCTCATTTAATTGTTTGGAGATTTCTTCAATGTCCATAATGTGTTAGTCCCGCCATTATGATATTTGCAAATTTCTTTAAATATATTACTTGAAAACCTATAAGTTTATTATAAGTGTGTTATATCCAACACATGTAAAATATTTACAAACAAATATTTTATCTCCCGCGGCTTTATTCGCAAATGTTATAAAAATGGAGTTTCAACCACAATGGATTCTCCATGGTACACATACAACCTAATGGGAGAATGGAAATAACCCATTGGATGCCAAACTTTGAACGCTTGTCCAGCGTTTAATTAGTGTGCTGTCTTTATATAAACGGCCAATAAGTGTCTGTTTTGATGAAAATTAATATTTGATTCATTTTTTTTTGTATTGAACTAAATTAAAGGGTACTTGAGTTTGCTAAAATTCTGGCTTTGCAAACTTATTCTGGTGATTTTTTTTTCATCAAACATAATGCGTACAATAATAGATAAAAATGAACAAGATCATTAAATAAATAGAAAACTATATGATAACAAGAGGGCCATCATGAACCTATATCGCCCACTAGGTGAAAGGCCTTGAATGACAGGGGTCGAATAAAAACCAAAATGAGGCGTTATGCAAATTTGCATCTCAAACTCATCACATTTAACCCAAATCACATATTGTGTCCCTGAATCTCATAATTGAATCAAAATAAATGAAAAATATATACTTTGGGCAATTTATCACCAACGTGGGACGAATGGTCACTATATTTCATCTGCTCCGTATATGCTAATGTAAAATCATATTAAATCATACACAATAAGTTTAATTCGTTTAAAAAAATCTCTTCAGATACTGAAAGTGTAATTTCGTTCCTAAAATATGGTTGTGTTATTATAATATCACGCTTAAACAGTTATTGTATTCACTTTTGATTGTTATATAGTGCCTTAGGTCTTACATATTTTTTTATTTATGTTACCAATATGTCATACTTTGAGCATATAGCACATAACTAAACATACACTAAATAGGGCATATTGTATATTCTAATTATTTGCTTTATTTGTGAATGCATGAAATAAATATATGCATGCAATATGTTTGAACTATAATTGCACATAAGACTGTCATATTTTCACACAAACACTATCAGCATGATAAAACAACGGTATTAAATACACCTTGAAGGTAAGGTCGTATTTTATTTCGATGATATGAGCACGTAGTCGGTAAACTTACAACAGCCACGGTGTCTTTTAATGCAGGGCAAAACACAAATCTGCCTTTAAAGATATGGAAAAGGTTCGCATAGTGCTGCCATTTATTGTCTCATTTGTTGGTGCAACAGCTCCATCTATGGAACTTTACAATAGCTTTCTCGAAAAGGAAAATGTGAATATGAAGAGTGGAGTAAAGGTTAGATAAATAAATAAATAAATAAATAAATACTCTTAATTAATAAGAATATTTTATAAAAAATATAAATAAATAAAAATTTATTTTCAAAATTACACTTATTCATAAGAGGGCTTGTTTATTATTTTACGCAGATTACTCCTCTCATAAACATAAATAAAAAATGAAAATGTGACAAATTGATTAAAACCTAATTTTACGGCAAGTATTTGACAGGTTGTCATTATAGTTCCGAGAAGTAAACTGTATCAATTGGAACAATAGATGCTTTTGACGAACAGCTGAAAAATTAGAATAATGTAGTTTTGACTCAACAAGTACTATCGTTCAACGTTTTCTTTACATGAAAGCAATGTTTCAAAATTGAATGCTATCTCTATTTCGACTGTGATGAAAAATTATCGTAATATAATTATATTTCAACGTTAACGTTTTTTTCTGGTTTCAGTTATAAATCAATCAACCGAGCCTTTCATCCAGCTAAAGTAATATAATTATATATATCGACATTTCTTTATTGTCATCCTCGGATAAGTTATTATGATGAACGACATGTAACTATATCTGATAAATAGTTTTATTAATTTATTTTATTTTAGGTAGGAAAAAAGATCATTAATTTTACGAACATGCGACAAAGCATGTATCCTAAGCAGATTATATACATCGATGTATATAATGATTGTAGAATATTTTCTAACAATCAACGTATGTTTTTGAAAAATATAAGAAGAAAGCAGTAGTTCTTGTATATAAGTTTTTGGAATTGTTATGCTTATTGTTTATTTCAATAAAGGAACTAAAATATGAATATCCGTTGTTTACCTTGTTGGCATGCTAAAGTTTTGATTATATTGTAAAGCAAATGAATTAGCGATACATTTAAATCGTTCAAGTAATGTCAGCAAGTAGGATTACACGTTATTACGTTATATTTTATGTATTTTGTTAAATTGTGCGCACTCAAATTATTTTATTGATAGCGGCCTTATTGTGATATATCTGTGGCATAAACTTTCCATATATTCCATAAGTTTTATATATATTTGCAGACTACCGAAACCAAAACGCCCTCAATAATTATCCAGTATGGAATGCCGCGCACTGCCACTACTTTGCAGTTCAACGTTCTTTGTGCAATTGTGTGATTGCAACATATAAGTGAAATAGGAAGTGTTGGATGTTTTTACAATAATAGATCTCTAACACAATTGCCTAAATATTCTGTAATCAAGACGCACAAAATGCAATATTACTATGATATAGTACCTCCAGGAACGTGGGTGGTTACAACTTTAGACAAAACACGTCAACGAAATCTACAAAGAGAAATTAAATCACTTCATTCTAATATTACCAGTCCGTTGAGTATAGAATTTTCAGTTGTAAAGGCATTCGGGGCGTCTATTGTAAACAAATACCAATCGCTTTTTAGTGTTTCTGATGAAAACATGGAACATGTCCTAAACTATATAAAGCTTTGGGAAATGTTTCGTATATGTTGTGGACAGCAGATGTCTGGAAAGTGGCGTGCCTTCCTTTTAAGAAAAACATATGCTTTGTCTTCACGATCGCCATGTTTAATGTATAATGTAAGTGAAATTGAAAAACGTTTCATAAACACCCATATATATGCGCTTTTTTCTGACAAGCCTCTTGTACGATCTGTATTAACAAAACCATCTATAAGAGATGGGACATTAAATGGAAACTACTGTGAAATGTGTAACAGAAATATATCTCTAAGAAGAATAAAACCTTTCAAACGATGCTTTTAGAATCAGTATCAGTATGATATCATAGGATGCCGTATGAAATTGTTATGAACACGTTAAAATCGTTACATTTATGTAACACATTATGTGGATTAAAAAAGAGTTGTTTTAATTTCAACTGGTTAACTACTTGTTGAATCCCTTTGTCTGAAGTATAAAAATGAATGTTCATTAACTTGGTTGTTTCTTAACATTAATCTGACTATATCAGTGTAAAATGTAAACATATTTATAGTTATATTAATGTTTAATGTCTTTGCCATATCGTGCATGTGTGTTAATGGTGTTATATATATAAACATTGTCTTTGGCCATTTGCACACATGCACGATATGGCAAAGACATAAACATTAATATATATATATATATATATAAGATCATTCGAAGTTTCCTAGATGGAGACTACTAGTGGCGTTATTTTGTTTAGTGTTGTTGAGCATGGCATTTAAAAAGGGCTTTTTATATTGTACAATTGACCGTACTTTTACTTATATGCTGTTTTGCTTGAAATATTTTACATTTTGCCAAAATAAGAAAAATAATTAAAAACAGTAAACATGGAATGAGAACTCGGAGAACATAATACTGATTATCATTTAGAAAGATGAATGTTTTAGTGATTTTTGTTATTGTGCAGAGTGAATCGGGTCGGCTGTGCCTACTATCTATTTAGAAAAACTTGCAAAGAAAGTCTGGACACATGTGGAATAAATATAAAAAGTAGTAGGAAGTGAAACATAAAGCGTATACTAAAAGAAATAAGAGGTCGGAGTCATTGACTCGATTCGAGTCCTAGGATTCACCTTCAAAACAAACCTTACTCCTATGCAAATCCTTACTCCTAACTCGTAAGCTTACGTTTTGTTAACCAAACTAACTTTTATGATTATAAACTCTGATAGATATCTATGTTATTCATGGTCACCCAGGTAGGATATTTTGCCTCATCTTCAGCACCAGGTTCATCTTAGCTTACCCAGAGTAGTCTGAAACAGATCAAGTTTACGTTGACTACCCTGTTTACTCGTGTGTTTACGCAAGTGATGTTGAATCATATTTACTTTACTCTATATTACTTTAAGTTTACCGAGCTTACTCTGAAGCAGATCAAGCTTACCTATGATTACCAACCTGACTTCAAGCATTAGTCATATTACTCATAAATGGAATTTATGTTTCACTTCCTAATACTTTTTATATCTATTCCACATTTTACAAAATGGATAGTAGGCACAGACATAACAAAATAACGCCACAAAAAGACTCCATCTAGGAAACTTCAAATGTTCAAACTGCATATATATATCTAACCACATGGCATTTTCCGCGGGAATTCAGAACAAAGGAATCTTTTTTTAAAAAACAAAGAAAGATAAACAACAGAACCTTGAACAATTTCTTTGAGATTTTTTAAACATACAAATATTATTTCAACATCATTGGTCACATAAAATAATAAATCAATCTATCATCAACCACAACATCTTTTTCAACAAAAACATTTAAATAAAATCCACGTGACAAAATGAACCAATCAAATAATTTTATCAATGGCCGCCATTTTGTTCAATGATCAATCTTCGTATTTGACTGCATTCCTAACCCTAACCGTATTACCCTTACTTACCCCTTTCTGAGGGTTTACTCTTTTTTAGTTACCCCCAACTTACTGCTATTTGAGGGTTTACTCCTTTTTTCTATTACCCTTACTAACCCCTTTATGAGGGTTTACTCTTTTAAGTTACCCCCAACTTACTCCTTTTTGAGATATTTCTCCTTTTTTGTATTACCCTTACTTACACCTTTCTAAGGGTTTACTCTTTTCTAGTTACCCCCAACTTACTCCTTTTTGAGGGTTTACTCTTTTTTACATACTCACAACTTACTCCTTTTTGAGGGTTTACTCCTTTTTTCTATTACCATTACTTACCCCTTTATGAGGGTTTACTCTTTTTTAGTGTTAATGCCTTCATTTATATCGTGAATGTTATGATAGTTTAGAAATTATCGATATACTTCACTTTACTGTAACATTTCTTCTATTCAATCATATCACTAGTATTTCATCATCAACACTACCACCATAATGGTTGAAACTTTTCCAAACATAACATGAAAGTAAAGAATTTATTACAAGTTCTGTCATTCTAGACATATTCACTCTATTAAATAAAAGATAACTTAGGTTTCAAAAGCAATCCTTTTCTTATTTATCTTTTTAATTTTATACAATACTATAAACAATATTACAAAATATATTTTTATATGAAACAGCATTTTTTCAATGACATCTCTTTATTAAATGAGATAACTCGCCAGTTTTACTCCCTGGGTTAATGATCATTTTGCTCTCAGAGTAAACTTTACTAATAATAAAGGATTTACTTTATGAGTAAATGGTCATTACTCCAAGTGTAAACTTTTACAATAACCGAGATTTACTTTCGGAGTAAATGATTATTTACTCCCAAAGTTAACTATAACAATAATGGAGAAGTTACTACATGAGAAAATGATCATTATTCCAAGACTAAACTTTTTACTAACCGACATTTATTCTCGGAGATAATGAGCATTTTCTTCAACAAAAAAATTCATTTCATAACAGAAAGTATATTAAACATTATAGTTAACTTATTCTTTTCAACAAATACATTGACATCTTTATCACCATACTTGCCACAACTTTTTGAAATATCACATAGGAATTAAAAAACAATATTTCAAGCCTAAAAATTTCAATTTCAAATTCATATTCCATCACAAGGGGTGACATCTTGGGGGTGACATCTGTCGGTTTCATCCTAACCCTAATGCAAATGAATACCTTTTGCATGTTCAATTTCCTGGTGATGATTGTGTGCGTTGTATCATAGCTCGTCCCAGTTACTTCTGATATCTCTCGAACGGTCTCTCTTGCGTCCTCCTTGATAATATCTTCAATTGACGTCACATCTTACGGCTTGACGCTCGACCTTTGTCCACGCCCTTCATCATCTTCAAGTGACTTCCGCTCTTCAGAGAATTGCCGGAACCACTTAAAAACGAGTGCTCGAGAAACAGAATTCTCTCCTGTTATCCTCTGCAGCTTTTTATATGTGTCTGTAGGTGCTTCACCTAATTCCATTCAGAACTTTATGTTGACACGCAAGTCAAGGCATTGTTGTAATGTCATTTTTCACGTTGTAGCTGCATAACGGACTACTATGGTTTTAACTTTTTTTC